GTTCTTTATGTTAAAAGACAGATCACTGACTCCATGCCAATAATCACAATAAAACAACTTCCAAATTATTTTCTTGTTTTTTATCTGAGAACATTTCATTGGGAACAACCTCCTAGCAATTCATTATTTAGCCATAATTATATAAGCAAGATCATTAATATGAATTTTAAAACATTTTTGTGGTAACATATTTGGATAGCACACCTCAGCTGCAGATGATCTTCACAAATTGGGAAAGAAGAATTAAATTACTATAAGAAAAACACAGTGTAAGACTAGAAAACGAGGAGATTTAGAATGCCTCAGAACTAGAACACCAAACTCAACATGATCTTCACAGATTGGGAAACCAGTGTGAAAAAAAATGTAGCTGAGCAAGGGAGTTTTATTGCACTGACATCTATGTGGTTTGGAACAGAATTCTTAAAAAAAGCTCTAGGCAAACTGAGAAGAGTTCAGTAGATAACACCAAGAGCTGTAAGAGCTCTAGAAATCCCGAGAGAAAAGGTTAGACGAATTAGGTTTGCCTGGTGTAGAGAAAGAGGAAAGTGAGGGAGAACATGGTAACACCTAGTAAGGATCTGCCTTCCACATCCACCAGAAGAGAGCTGCCTAACTTTCAGCAAATACTGCAGAGAATTTTGCAAAGAATTAACACCCCACCAGCAGCCCTCCCTGTCAAACATCAATAATAGTTATCAGTAATTGCTACATACAAGTATTTTAATACCAGATTAAAGAAATGCCTGTCAACTTCAAGTGCTCTAGTGGAAGGGTGGGATCAAAGACTTAGGAAGTTCCCTGTGATTTTAAGAGGCTACAGTTACTTCAGACATAAAAAGTAATCATTTTTCAAGGTTCTCCAGAAAACGAAAATCAAGAATCTAGAGAATACAACATAACAGCAATAAACAAAGTCATTGAATCCACAGTCTCCTTTGGTGGCTTTTACAATATCATAACAACAGACTGTATTCCTGGAACACCACTTCCCCTCCTGCATCCTGCATGAACATTTTAACCATGCCCATGGACTTCAAACTGGCAAGGACTTCTGTCTTAAATAAGTACTGCAAATTGAGTAGCTGAATGCATATAGCTTTTTCAGACTACCTAATAAATACCACTCAGTATACGAGAGATCCCTGCCCTGCTATCTACTCAACGGAAGTTTCTCTGGTAACAAAGTTAAATATTTCCAAAACAATGCTCTCTAAATACGGGTACAATTTATTGGCGGCCTTTTCAAATAAGACAAAATAACCACCAGTACAACAGCAGGATACTGTTGTGCACAACACAGAGAATTTACTATGGAAAAATGAATGGAGTGTGTATATCAGTAACAATAAAACAGGAATGATACTGCCATGATTCATCAACCTAGGATTTCCAACTAACATTTACAATGGGCTTGATGCTAGAACCCTCAGACCTTTCTCTGGAAAGTGCCTCTGAAAATACTCTGAAGAATGCTTTTTATAAATTGCACAGCATTTTAAATAACACATCGCCCTTATATGGCCTTAAGGCTCAAAACTTCCAGTCACTATTAAGTCTAGCTTACACATGTAAAACCATAACAAGAAGGACAAAGATAAAAAAATAGAAGCATACACTGAGAACCAAGTTTGAAGTGGGACACCTTGATTTTCAGCAGTTTTTCAAAACTTTAATGAATACCACCTGCAGTGCCCGTGTTCTCTGAAGAACAAGGCTCAAGATAGGTACCATCTGGCAGGGAAAAGCTTATGAAAGTATCACGAGTTTGCAAATGGCTTGAAACATACTAAACCACCATTAGAACATGGTCTCTTTCTTCTGATGGATGCACTAGGCACAGCCTCTTCTCCAGAATAATCAGTAAATCGAAGTGCAGGAAAAAAGGCACACATAAATTCAAAGTGGAAGTATCTGTACACCATGATGGGAGAGACAAGTTTGCATGTACTACTAGTTAAAGGTGTCCTACCTGTTTCATCCCTCCCCATCATCTCTCTCCCTGTAAGCAGATGTCCTAAACATGAGGTCAAGTTGCTCATCTGTCCTTATTCTGGACATGCAACTGAATTTTATATTACATAGTGTGAAGAGGACCAACTTCAACGGGATTAAGAGCATCTCCCTAAAATACTCCCAGAACATCCTGTGGCTTGTTGATTATGAAACCCTCCAGAGATACGATAAGAGTTTGGTGTTGAAATAGAAACTGAACTCAGATAGCCCTCTCTCTGAGTGAATGCTCTGACCACTAAGCAGTTGTACAAAAGCAATGCATCTCTGCCACTTGTGTTGAAAGTGGCCTGATATCACCTTGGGCTTTGATGGAAACAGCTTATGCCTCTAATTCCAAGAGAAAGCTCAGGACTGCAAATTCCAAGTTCAGTCTCAGCAAGGAATACAGCACAAGTTAAATCCACTTTAGTCATTTTTATTTCTTGTTTTCTTTTTTTGATCCAAGTGTCACAACCTCTTTAATTTTCCCTCCACCCACAGAGGAGGATATGATGTCCTTCCCCGTGGGCTGCAAACTCCATGCAAGGACTAAGATCTACAAAAGATAGGGACCAAAGCATTTGGCATGAGTTCTACTTCTGGATCTAATCTTTAAATGCCATCACAAGAAAATAACTTTCCTCCCTCACAGGGGATGCCCAGTGCCTGCACTGTAAAATGGTGAGGGCAGCACTGGGGCTTAAACACAGAATATCCAGAAGAGCAATTGGTCACATTCATAGGACATGTCTTTGATTCTTCAGATATTTAGTCCTAGTGCAGTATTTAAGACTAAACCTTACTAGGCTTACTGTCAGAAAGCACTTCTATACCTGACTGCACCTAAATGTAGCTGAAGGTTTTCCAAGATAAAAATGCTTCAGCCGCTGACATACCATCCAGCAGCTGTCCATCCATCCCATTCCTCCTCCCTTGGGAGGCAAAGATGGTAGATAAAGAAAAGAACATCCCCTTTGATCTATCTGGAAAACATCTCTCTTTAGATACAGACCAACGTTCCAAATTACTACCTTGAATGGCAAAAATCTTCATGCTTTTGTGGGCAGAGGGATCAAAGTTGGATCAATTAGAATAACAAAAAGGGACCATGTTTATTCAAGATAATGGATGGTAAAACAAACCTCACTGGTTCACACCTTAAAAGGTGCTGGTCATCTGTTAAGACTGCTACCCAAATGAAGTTACTGAGAATGGCAAAGCTTAGGATTTTGCCTGCTGCTGAAGCTATCCAAAACTCAAAATTATCTGAAATTCCTTTAGCCAAAATCACTCCCTGCTTAACTATAACATTTAAGCATGAAGACATTTCATTAACAAGATATTTGATATTTGTTCCACATCTGTTTAACGGTTAAAAACACCATAGTATTCCCCTTACTGCTGCAAATGGCTACCACTGGCAGGACCTACCTGATTACAATCTGCTATAAGATGAGAAAGTACTTATAAATAACCATCTCTTTTGCAGGAATGTAAATTTCTATGCAGAAACCAAGGCATATCTGAGAGAAAGAGCAGTAGATAATGAGATTTTGCTGACATTTCATAATAACAAAGATAGACACTAGCACAAGGAAAAAGGAGTATTTGTCTCTCTCCTAAGAACAAGATGTGATGTGCAGGTCAGTCCTTCTGCTGCCACCACCCTGCCACCGTTATTTGTCTGTCTCATTTTCTACTCTTAGTCCCTCAGGAGCTGAGGGACACATTTGTCTAGCCTGAGCAGCCTGATGCATCACCCTGTCTACGAGCAAGGAAAGTGCAGCATATCCTAAAATTCAGGGCACAGGGCCAAACATACCCAATCAGTAGACACACTTGCCTTTAGAGAATAAGGTTAGAAGGCCAGAGATTTCAAAATCTAGATGGCAGGGATGACACATTAATCCTTGAGGAAGGAAAAGGGAAAAAAAAGAAAGCATGTGTCATCATTTCCCTATCCCAGTATAACGGTATCACCTTCTACTGGGCTCAGAAATTGGTAGGAGCAGCTTGCAATGTACACCTCTGTTGCCAGAATACATCAGGCTGCTGTACAGCAATCCCTATATCCTGTTAATCAATTCTGCTTGCTGCAGCAGCCCATCTGCTTTGCTCCCGCCGGCGTACGCTGACACCTACGAGCTGCTCACGCTGCTCTGGAGCACACTGGGGCATCAGGAGCACCAAGCAATCTGAGCCACACTGAAAACCTTCCTATGCTGATAAAAATTAAACAAGCTGAAGAACGTCTGTGTCTCCATGTCTCCTCCCTACACAGGAAGCAGCATATATAAAAACAGATTAGAAAACTGATACGCATTAAAGGGAAATCTAAGAAGGACAAATTGATAATGTGGTGCATCTGTGATGTCATGCACATGTAGCACTAACAGGCAATTCCACTTGAGTGTTCATTTCCTACATGATCTATTTAGCTGCACTGAGAATGACGAGCACATTGTAATTTCACATAAAGCACTGCCTCCCATTCACTCCCTACACAACTACAAACACAAAACATTCAGTACAGTGCAATGCATAACCCAACACAAAACACATTCATGACAACCAGCAATCTCTCCCCATCCCAGGCACACAACCCCACCACTACAATTAGCACCTACAGAAAGAACACAAAGAATACACCCCACAAACAACATCTCCACCATCTCCCTTCTGTAAATTCCCCAAGTTCAAGCACAGGCAATAGAGAAGGTAACACAGGCAAGCAGCACACACAGCACCATCCCTCACCACCAGCTCCACCATGCTGACAAAATCACAAAGCCATCCCTTGGTAACACATGCCACTATGCAGAAAACATCCCACCACTGCAGACAGATGTTATTACACACATACATATGCACACACACACACACACACACCCAGTTCTCTCACTGCTGCTCACACCACTATCCATCTACCTCAAAAAACCTGCTGCACACATTCAGTATAGAATTACATTCCCACATACACCTCCCCAGCACTGCTGCCTTCTAACCTGTGTGTCAAATCCATTTTCTGTCGAGCTACTCTTCCTTGGTGGGAGTCCATCTCCTGCATTCTCTTGTCCATTTGAAGATTTGAGAGGAATCTGGCTGGAATACAATGGCTTCGTCACCTCCACCTTGCTCCCAAACTTCAGGTAACAGGGCTGTGGGATGGTCCTGGCCGTTGGGACATGCAGGATAGGAGCAGCGCTGTGCACGGGTTTAGGTAGTCCCGATTTCATTTTGGAGGCTACCAGGATGGCTGGCATTTTCCCTTTCTGCTTTCCTAACACGTTTCTGTCAGCAGCAGCAGCAACAGCAGAGACAGCAGGCAGGGAGAGAGAAAGGGACACGTTGGGGAAGCTGCTCTACCCTAAAGCAGACTGGTTTACTGCAGGGATCTCCAAAACCAGCTTAGAGTTTAAAACCAGTAACAAAATAATCAAAAAAAAGAAAAAAGAAAAAAAATAAAAAAGAAAAAAAAAGAAGCTACTCAAACCACTTTCAGTCTATGATATGTCCCAGCTTTATGCCAGCCTTCCACCTGTTTCCTCTAATTTTATTTTCAGTTCTTCACCAGTGTCCTCCTGTCTTCCTTCCTATTTCTGCTGTTATTTAACTTGCTCCTTCCTTTCTCTGGCTGACTCCTGTAATTTTCTTCCCTGGAAATGGGAGACTTTCACTCCATTATCTTGTCACCGCATCTACAAAGCCTTTTGGAATAAAAAAAAAAAAAAAAAAAAAAAAAACCCTGCTGCTGCATGTGCTTCCCCTTCCGTATGCACTAGAGAGCGAGCGAGCGAGCAAGCAGGCAGGATTTCCAGCTTAAAATGTCTTTCTTCAGTCTTAGCCAAGAAGCAGATGTAGCTCAGTGTGTTAATGACTGATGCCCTTGGATACCAGCCTTAGAGAATCAAGCTTCTTAAGTCTTAATAGCTGTGAACAGGACAACGATGCCGGAGCAGAAGGAGACCCCGTCCACACTGACCACAATTTTAAAGACAAATCTGGCAGCGGCCACAAAATTTCCCGGCTCCCCCAGTGCTGCTGGTGAAAACCTGGAGGGGAAAATAATAATAAAATAAAAAACCCCAAATCGTTCGGCTGTCAGAGGGGAAGGGAAAGCAGCCGCCCGCTCATTTTCCCCTCCCGCAGTGGAGCGGGATCCCGCCCGGCGCTGCGCCGCGCCTCCTG